GTTTAGGGTTTAGGGGGCTTCAAGCTGCTTCGGGCCTAGGCAGGTCTAGCCTGACAGCATTTTGTTGCCGACATGTGCATTCTCTTCCTGCTGTCAGGAGATAATTCCCGGGGTTCTGAGGTCGACCTACCCTGAAGCTTCGCAACGCGAAAGGGCACCTGGAGCCCCGAGGTGGGAGGGGAGGGTTTCAGGAGGGTCGGGCCCTTTGATCAGGGTTTAGGGTTTAGGGTTTCGGATTCCTTTTGAGCGGGCGTTGTGGCAAGTGTGGAGGTCAGGACGTCCTGCTGCTCAGAGGGCCTGCCGAGCTACACTGTGCGACGGCCGTCGCCGGAGGCACCTCCTACTGCCATGATCAACCCCCTTTTTTGTGAACTTTTCTCAGGGGCTTTAGATGGTTTAGTTATAGTTTCGCATGGATTCGACTCTCCTAGCCCACACCCCCCATGCCCTCAGTCCGAAGCCCTCCTTCCGAAGCCAAACAAGTCGCCCTGCGAACTGGTTCCCGAAGGCATAATACTTCAACAAGAGCCTTCAGGCTTAAGCAGGCTTCAGGATGAGGTTTAGGGTTTAGGATTTAGGGATTAGGGTGGGCATCCCGGGGAAGCGGGCGACGAGATCAAAGAGGGTCGTCGTTTCCAAAGCTCAGGATCAGGAAGTTGAAACGGCAGGTTGGACGGCGCCGTCCTTGTGTGAGACATTCTTCACTCATGAAGAAGATACTTCCAGCTCCTCATCGTTGGCCTGTGCGGGACTCGATAGGGATCAAGGCTTGCTACGGTCCAATCTACCTTCCGTGCTAGACTTTCAGCAGCGTTTTGCTCTTACTGTAAGAACAGAGCTGAGACGCATGATATGGGTTTGCATCGGCCCGACCTTCATAACACAATCATGCAAGCTGTAAATGTGCAGTTGAGCGAAACGTCCCACACCCCGGGCACCGAAGGCCACAAGGAAAGGTATGTGTAACTGCGTAAGCCTGAAGAACCCCACCCTCCTTCTTGCTGCTTACCATACCATGACAAAAACTGCCCGGCAGAAGGTAAACACCGGCCCACAAAAGACCTAAACCCTAAAACCCTCAACCCTAAACTAATTTGCTTAAGAACCCCAAAAGAAGAAGAAAAAAAAGTAATCTCTATATTGCCCTTAATAAGGAATAACATGTTTATTCTTTCGGGGTTCTTAAGCAATTAGTAGTAAAACCCTAAACCCTCAACCCTCAACCCTAAACACCCGACCCTAAACCCTAAACCCTGAACCCTAAAACCCTGAACCCTGAACCCCCTAAACCCTAAACCCCCTAAACCCTAAACCCTAAACCCTGAACTCCATGTCCATCTCCAAGGCCGCGGCGACTTCTCGGGGCTTCGAAGCCACCGTCACGCAGATGAAGCCTCGATTTGGTGGGCACAGGGATGAAAATCTCGTAGCGAAGGGAGAAGTCCTAAGTCTTCTTTAAGCCTGAATAATTTTAACGCCTAGGGTTTAGGGTTTAGGGTGTAGGTTTAGGGTTTAGGGTTAAGGGTTTCATGAACAGTGCCCAGAGTTCCAAGCTGATAAAGAGAAACGTGCCCTAAACCCTCTGGTCCGTACACCCTGTCTGAGGAGACGGCCAGAGACGACCAGGGCGGCCGCCAAGAAGGTCCAGCCGGTCCTTGGCATGGTGATGGGCTTTGGTGGGTTTGGGGCTAAGGGTTAAGGGTTAAGGGCTAAGGGCTCAAACCCTGAACTCCTCAAAAGGAGGGGCCGGGCGGGGGGGGGGTTCTCCCTCCCTCAACCTCGAGCTCCTTCTGGAACAAACAAAAAGCTGGACCCCAAGAGTAACCTAGGAGAAAAAAGGGTGCCCGTTTGGTTTAAAGGGCCTCACAAGGGGAACCCAAACCCTAACAAAAGGGAAAAAGGGCCTAGCCTGGGTCCTAGAAAAGCTGCCAAACGGAGGCCAGGCGGCAGCTGCTTCTGTCGCAGGAAGTCGGCCACAACCTGATCGAGTTTCGAAAACGAACCCAGCCTCCGACCCCCGTTGATCCCCCTAAACTGCGATGTCCGACCCTTTCTATGTTAAAAGCACCTGCAGGGGGGGTGCTGCCCCACTATAGCTAAAGGGTCTCCAAAACACCCACAGTTTCCTCAAAGCATGTCAACAACTCGGGAAACCCTCCAGCGACTGAATGCCGCGAGTCTACAACTCCACCCTGGAAACACCTGAATGCCATTACTCTCTACATCCCATCCTTCTCTGCACCCGGCCACGGAAGAATCTCCCAAGCCCTCAGGCCCCCAAATCTGCGAAGCCGGAACACTCGATTCCGCTTGAACCCTGAGCTGGGGCTAATTGCCAGCAGGTGCACCGGGGAAGGGCCAGGCTTAGCCCCCGAAACTTTGTTGAAACATGCTGGACGAAGCACTGTAGCAACACAGTAAACACCGCAACTTTGGGATGTCATACGCCTCATGCTAACAGTCTTCGTAGGGAGTATAGTAGGGGATACCATCCCATCCCTATTAAGGACTGTTAGTATGAGGAGGAACATGCCAAACAGCTACAGTAGACATCTTATGTCACTCTGCCCAGAACACGAGGGTCTGAGCCCTTGGCGCTGAGGGGAATGGTCAGGGACAGGCCCACCTCCGTCGGCGGCATTGCAAGGCTAGCGTTCGCGTTTCGGGAATTGGGGAGATACCTCCAGACTATTGCAATACGAACCCATGACGCTCTAGGGTATACTTGTTTAGGGTTTCAAACCTAAAGCTAAAGCACATCTTCCTCAGATGCACACATGAGGCTTCCCCAACAGAACGGGAGTAAGGACTCTGGAACTTGAAGGTCTCTGCCACGCTCTAAAGCTCAGACCGTGGACGCTCGACAACCCCCGAATTCTCAACACGGGTTTAGGGGTTTAGGGGTTTAGGGTTTAGGGTTTAGGGTTTAGGGTTTAGGGATACTTTTTTGTGCTCTTTCCGAGTGCAGGACGGTGGCTGCCGTAGGTGAGGTCCACTGCACCGCCTTGCCAATTTGTGAGTTTGAGATTATATGGGCCACTGTGGACTCGCGCGGACTTGGGAATCTTTGAGTAGCTGCGGAGCACGCCACAGCACTGGGTTGGAACGTAGGACCTAGGCAAAATGAAGCTAAGCCCGGGCAAACAGCAAAATCCCTCAAGCCCTTTATGCGCCTCCGACCCTCAGCCCGAGAAGCCGAAAACTTTGCATTCCGGTTGCAGGTGAACCTTTGAAGCCAAACCCTAAACCCTAAACCCCAAACCCCAAACCCTAAACCCTAAACCCTAAGCCCTCAACCCTAAACCCTACAGCGTTGACTTGAAGGGATTTGGCTTCGGCCTTTCGGGTGCAAAAGCTCCGAACACCTCGTGGCCGCGCCTTCGCCCAGGCGAACTGTGAGAGCACGTTGTCGAACAGGCCATTGAAGATGAGCAGGCCGAACACCTTAATCATCAGAATCATCATCAGAATAATAATAATAATAATAATAATAACAATAGTAGTAGTTATACTAGCAATAGCAATAGCAATGGCAATAGGAATAATAATAATAATAATAATAATAATGATAATCGTAATACTCAGAATACGATTTAAAACTTTGGGTTTTAGGGTTAGGGTTGGAATGTTCCCCCTTATACTAACAGTCCTTAATAGGATTATAGTACCCCCTATGATAATCCCTATTAAGGACTGTTAGAATAAAGGGGAACAAGTTTACGCCTCGAGATTACCAGGGATTTTCACCCCGATGCCCTACGGCTCACCCCGAGACCTACTTTTTATGTGTTTGTTTGTATAAATATTTGTCTGACGAAAAAATAGAATAGACTGCAACCATGACTAAATACCCCTACACTGTTCTGGAGAGATGGTGGAGGCTAAGGACGCCTCTGGAATGCTTTGGCTGTGCAGGCGATTAGAGTTTCGGAGCTCAAGGCTGTGGCTCGGCTTGAAGATTCTAAAATTAGGGTTTAGGGTTTAGGGTTTAGGGTTTAGGGGTTAGGGTTTAGGGTTTAGGGTTTACTCCCAAATAGAGCTGCGAGGTGGTTTGGGGCTCCAGCTTGAAATCCTCTGAGGCCCCAGGCCGAACAACCAGCCTCCCATACCCGTCTCACTTCGGCTCCTGGCCCCCTCTGCCAGCAGACCCCCCCTACTTGGAGGTTCATGGTACTTCTTAACCAATTATGACTGTACGTATGACTGTACTTAGAACCATATTAGGGCACTTAAGGGGCTTATAAGGGGCTAGAAGTATTCTTTATATCATCCCTTTTAAACGACTGTTAGTGTAAGCGGGAACATCCCAAGCTATAGCCACTCCAGCAGCAATGCGCGCTCGGCTTTTGCTGTACAAGGCGGGAACATCGCAGGACACACGGTCTCCACGACGTCCAAGGGCCGCGACTGAGGCCGGGGAGCAAATGCTCCAAGGGGTCCTGGGACCCAGAGCAAGCGGCTCGTCCTCGCCATGGAAAGAGCCGGAACAAAACTCTCAAAGCTCCTGGGGGCTGATCCGAGGTCTGATCTGCCAGGCCTGGAGAGCTGAAGTCGTAGCAGGACACAGTCAGCTTGGCTGACTGACATGCTAGCTTCACTGCCAAACTGGCCGATCGAAACCGGTTTTCTTGGGCTTGGGCCAAGACTGTTCACCTCCGCCAAGTATCAAGCCGCCCTGTCGTTGACTTCGAGCCCCACTAGCGTGTACAGTATGCGCAAATTCGAGGAGGCTTGTGTGCAGGCAAGCAGATTGGTATCATGAATCTGAATTCTGCAAGGCACAGGCCTTCACAAGACATCGGCCAACCCCCAGCTGACAAGCACACAGCCAGTCCGCACTGGGGGGTGGGGGGTTGCTACGTTGACTTGGGGGTGTCGGTGGGGTGTACTATGTTTCTAATTTCGAACGCTAAGAAAGTTGTGGGCTCCCTCCTGACAAAGCATGTCTCCGATCTGGATCATACTTTGATCTCAAATCCCTGGCCTGATCCCTGGCAGTCTCAAGCAACGAGCAGAAGCTTCACTCTCCCTTCTCGCACGCCCTTGTCCATGTCCTGTTGAGGATAAGTGGGGACTTCCGGGAAGTTTGCCGCAGAACTCACGCTTTCGCGCAACCTCTTATAAGTCCGAAAAACAATGAATAAACATGGAAGCTGCGTGATACCCCGAAAATTTCTATGAGTTTCAAGGCAGGTTTGAGGTTGAGTTTGGGGCAATCCCGAAGGCCTTCAGTGCTTTACCGCGGCGAGCTAAAGCACCCCAAGCCCGCCTGGCTTCTCCAACGAGCCCTCATAAGCCCCAAAACACTCAACCCATCTGGTCCTGGAGGACTTGTACACGACCTGCTCCAGCTGCCAGCTTGCCTGCAACCGCGATCAACATGCATTTAGGGTCTGGGGTTTAGGTTGTTTAGGGTTGAGGGTTGACGGTTTCGGGTTTTAGGGTTTTTCGCGTGCTGCGGTTTCGTGGGTTCTCGCCAACTTTGGAGATGAACGGCCTTCAAACCTGCTTTCAGGCACTTGGGATACGACAACTAAACCAAGAAGGATCACATGCGACTTCCGCTGCTCTACATTAACCCCGAGCCACCCGAACCCCCAAAGCTTAAATGCTAAATCCGCTGCCCCCCCCCCCCCCCCCCCAAACCCTCAAAACAGACATGCACGACCTTTCCAAGGGCTGACAAGTTGCGGACCAAAGCCAGCCAATATCGATCACCCAGGCCTGGGGGCTCAGAGACTTCGGGGTCTTTAGGGAGTCGGAGTCGGAGAGAGTCGGTGTGTGCCGCTGGGAATACTTGGAGGTTCATGGTACTTATTAACCAATGAGAACTGTACTCATAACTCACTTCTAAGCCCCTTAGCTGCCCTCATGTGGCTAGAAGTACAGTTATAATTTAATTGGCTAATACGTACCATGAACCTCCAAGTAGGGATTGCCTTCAGCCGCTGCCCTCAGAAGGGTTTGACGAGAGTGCGGCGTAGAAAGCGTGGGACCAAAATTCAGCGAACGGTGGACATGGTTCGTACTGGCTTCCTCCCAGGGTTGCTGGGTGTTTAGGGTTTAGGGTTTAGGGAGGCCGTTCTCACGATATGATGGGCATCCCGGCATTTGCGCTGTGGCCGAAACTCTCCGACGCTGACACATGCTGTGCTACAGGCATCGAGCTCAGCGAACAGCAGGTCTGAATCGCGCGTTTCTCATTCGATGCCTCGAAAAACGCAGAAGATATGCCGAAGCAAGAAGGCTACACACTCTACTCACTACCATGAGCTTCTCGCCTTTCCGAAGCCATGCCATTTTTACGCAATGCGCAAGCGATGCTCCAACCCCATCTGGGACTACCAAGGCCTAAACAAACCTAGGATGGCCCCTTGAAACCTCTGAACAGTCCTCTTAATTCGGATTTAGGGTTTAGGGTTTAGGGTTTAGGGTTTAACCCAATAAGGGAGCATATAAATCATCCCACGGGCCTACCGAGAAGCAACGAGAGAAAAGTTGGGTTGAGCATGCTGGAGGGACCCAGGCTGCCCACACCCCTCCCCCCCCCAAGAACATAAGCAGATTCTTCCTTATAAGGGTAGTCTAGGGATTATTACGTATTATGCCTAAACCCTAAACCCTAAACCCTAAACCCTAAACCCTAAACCCTAAACCCTAAACCCTAAACCCTAAACCCTAAACCCTAAACCCTAAACCCTAAACCCTAAACCCTAAACCCTAAACCCTAAACCGTTTGGGGGGGTTCTGAAGCAAGTAGTAGAAAAGCTTTCCGAGCAGCGCTGCGCCATGGCCATCTGCGCGGGGCTGATGTCAAAGACGTCGCCTCACGCTTCGGGGTGTCTAAACCTTGTGGACCAAAATGCCTGTTTGGGGTTTAGGGTTTAGGGTTTAGGGTGTAGGGTTTAGGGTTTAGGGTTGAGGGGCTAGGGGTTAGGGGTTAGGGTTTAGGGGTTAGGGTTTAGGGTTTAGGGCACCTTGAAATTGGGGTCATATGCCCTATACTACTATAGTTCCTATTAATGTATATGAACCTATATGAACCATAAACCCTTTTAGGGTTCATTTCGTCCCCAGGGAAGTTGAATATGTTCGCAGCCTGACGTGTCAGTAGGAGCATATCTCGGAACTCTCAACCCTAAACTGCCCACCATCTCGTTAAACCTCACAGCCCTCCCGTAAAGCAGGCTTTGGCGAAACCCAGAAAAAAGCACGTGACTCCCAAAGCCTTAACATTCCAGCCTTTGGGGTTCGGCTCTGCTACGCATGTCCATGGCCTAAAGCCACAGCCCAAATCCAACACCCTCCTCGCCCTAAGCCCTTACAACCCGAAACCTCCTCCCCCAATCAAAGAACCCTCCGCCTCGGGCGTCGGCCAAGCTCGCCTTGACCTCCACCACAGCCGCCTCAGTGGGTTTGGGCGGGGGGGGGGGGGGAGGGGAGGGGGTTTAGGGCCTCTCAGGGCTTTCTCGGTTCTAGGATGGTTTTGGGGGCTTCGGTTTTAGGATGGTTTTGGGGGTTCGCCCTGGGAGGCGTCCGAGGCTTGTGAGGGTCGTGAGGGTCGAGAGGCCTTGCTGGTCTCTTTGAGGCTTGAGAAGGCCAGCTTCTGTTTCGATCGTGCCTGAGCCAGACACCGTAAACTTTAACTCCAACTCCCTCGCTTTCTGCAGAGTTTTAGAGGGACTTGAGAAACTCTAGCCCTCTCTTGCCGCCCAGCTGCTTCCGGCAACTTTGCTAGCGCTGCCTACAGCAGACCACCCAAGAAACGGAAAAGCAAACGGGAAACTGAGGGTTTGGAGTTTGGGGAGCCGATACCTTTGCGAGCGCCTGCTTGGCCGAAAGATGCAGAGAATGCTTCTTTTGCTGTAGCAGCTTGCAAAGTGAAATTAACATGCATACTAACTTGCCGAACGAGTGAAGAGATCGGCAACGAACACAGCAACAAAGGAGAACACCAAGCTGTCATGCCAGAGGAACAGCTTCATGCCAGAGGAACAGCGAGATCACCACCACCACCACCACCACCACCACCACCACCACCACCACCACCACCACCACCACCACCACCACCACCACCACCACCACCACCACCACCACCACCACCAGCAACCAACAGCCAAACACTGTGCTGGCCCCCCTCGACAGGTGCAAGTCTTGGTCAAAAGAACTCAGGGACATATCATCAACGCAACAGCGTCGAACCCAGCCAGGAAAACGCTCAACGCTAACCTGAGAGAAGCCCTGCCCCATCCGACGATTGGGTTTTCGGGGTTTAGGGTTTCATGAGCCGCTCAGCTGCATAAACTTTGCAAGCGACCGCCTGGCAAAGCAAGATCCGCTAGAGTCTAGCTGGTGTAATCCTTTTCTCACGGCTCATGCCTCATAAACCATGGGTCTGTAGAAACGGCTCTGGCAAGCCTTCAGTCTTTCTCCGGAAGCAAGCGGCCAGCAGTGCTTGGGCCAGAACAACCCAGGGCGGATTATCGGATCAGGGCTGGAAACTGTGACACGCACCTGCTTTGACCACTCAAGGCTGCAAGGCCTGAACCCTGTAAGCCCGATGCTCTCAAGAACCTCGAGAATCCTCAAGAAGCCTGCAACCCCTGACGCCAGAGCTCCCCGACTCTCCAACAGCTCTTCTTGTAGGGTTTTCGGGTTTAGGGTTTCTGGGGGTTTCTGGGATTTTCGGGGGGGTTGATCGTGCTGGCATGGGGGGAAGAGGAGCCTCGATCTCGCGAAGGGGATGCACCTGCAACTGCCGCACACTCCGCTCTTGAGGGCTTCGGTGTGCCGGGGAGCTCAAGGTTGAGAATTTTGACGTTTCAAGGGGGGGGGGGGGGCTTCGGGGTTTAGGGTTTAGGAGGTGGAGGGGGATAGGGGTCGAGGGTTTACACCGACTTGCGTGTGCAGGTCGAGGGAGGGTTGAAGGAGGAGACTTCAAGGCACAAAGGCAAACAGGGTTTGTATCTTCGGGACATCTAAAACGTCCCTAAACCCGAACTCTCAAATCCGAAAACCTGAGCTCTTGCTGCCCTAAACCCTAAACCCTAAACCCTAAACCCTAAACCCGAAACCCTAAACCCCAAACCGCTGCCTTTGGCTGCCCAGCGCACTGCGCCAGCGCTGCAAGAGCAGGGGGCCAGGGCCGGCGGCCTTCCGCCCCCCAATCTGAAACCCCGCAACCGACTTCCTATTTGGGGGTTTACGAAAACAAGGGACCCTCACGTAGAACCCGTAACAAAGCGCCAACCTCTCAGGCTTTAGAATCGATCCAGGGTTGAGACTGCAAAACTGCAAACTGGATCCCTAGAGTGCATTTATGCAGGAATAAGGAGACTTTACTGTTGCTCCTGCATGGCGCCCGACACTGGCATGGTACAGCCTTGAATGCTAAGCCACTGCCCTCAAAATCACTAGGTCAAAAGAGCCCTCACACTAAGACTCGACATAAGTTGAGGAGCCGTTAGTCGCAGGCCGGACGACGAGGTCAAAGGGCAGGCCTCTCAAACATCGCACGGCATTACGCGGCATTAGCCCAAAACTCCAGCCTGAGTCCCGAGACTCGACGCCTAAACTTGTGGGAGCCCTGGGCAGTTTTGGGTCTCCTCACCTCCTCGCCCAGTGTTCCCACTCACTGCCTGGTCCCTGGGAGAAGCCACAGAGAGCCCCGCGCCGAGTATCCCTGAAGCGCAGGCAAGGCCGCAGCTTCTCGCCCAGAATCCCCTGGACTGCCCACCCCCAGAGAAGCCCGCAGCAAGAAGCCCGCAGGAAGGGACCCTTGACTTCCTGGCTTGTGGGGCTGTGGTCTCGTGCAAACTGACCATTGTACCTTGCACCTAGCACCCCAAAACCCTAAACCCTAAGCCCCAAACCCTAAGCCCTAAACCCTAAACCCTAAACCCTAAACTCTGAACCCCTCTTAGTTTGGGCTTTAAGGTTGGAATTTAGGGTTTGAAGGGGTTCCGGGCTCGTCCGGATGGATGTCGGACTTGGCCGCGGGTTTGAAAATGCCGTTTCTGACTCGTCCCGCGCATCCAAGATGCTTCTAAAAAATGCCTTTTGGGAGCAAACTCAACTTCAAAAAAAGCTCCACATATTATCATTTAACTTTTCACCCTCACCGCAAGGGCCCCCCCCCCCCCCCACAAACGCAGGAACTTTCGGTACGAGCTTTGGGAGGGAGAGGGCAAATAAACCCTTACACGTAAGGTTCAGCGCACCTCTTCATGGCTGCATCTAACAGCAACGCCTCTAAACAGGTAGGCCATTTGGTGAAATTTGGCCTGTCTCGTTCACCCCGTTCGCCCAGATCACGTCGAATCCCTGTTTCCTTGGCTTGTTCCGGGTGGCATGGGCGTCAAGGTTTCAGTCTGGGTCCCTAGCAGCATCTCCAACCGAATCCATACTGTCAGGTTGTGAGACCAACTGTATGCACTCATTTTCGTTTCGTTTGCTCTGTCGGTCTGTCTCTGTCTGTCTCTGTCTGTCTCTGTCTGCCTGTCTGCCTGTTTGCCTGTCTGTCTCTGTCTGTGTGTCTGTGTGTCTGTGTGTCTGTGTGTCTGTGTGTCTGTGTGTCTGTGTGTCTGTGTGTCTGTGTGTCTGTGTGTCTGTGTGTCTGTGTGTCTGTGTGTCTGTGTGTCTGTGTGTCTGTGTGTCTGTGTGTCTGTGTGTCAGTGTGTCTGTGTGTCTGTTTGTCTGTGAGTCTGCGTGTCTGTGTGTCTGTGTGTCTGCGTGTCTGCGTGTCTGTGTCTCTGTGTCTCTGTGTCTGTGTGTGTGCTTTATTTGTACGTGGTTGTGCTTTTTTGCACTCTTGCGGCGTGTCAGCGATTTACAAGAGACGCACGTTTACACATGTCTCCCGAACCCTACCCCCTAAACCCTAAACCCCAAACCCCAAACCCCAAACCCAAAACCCTAAACCCTAAAGATTCTCAGGCCCGGGGTCTTCAGCGCGTGCATGGCCGCCTGCGCAGGGAGGACGCCGAGAGCCAGGATGGTCCAGGGGCGGGTCCCCATATGGGGCTCTCAACCCTGAACCTGCTAGATGTTGTGCAGAGAACCTGCTATACCCTAAGCCCTAAACCCTAAACGCTAAACCCTAAACCCTAAACTTAAAGAATCTAGCTCTCAACTCTGAATTTGCGGCGCGACCATGTTCGCCAAAAGAAAACACTTGAACATCAAGTTGGAAGACGCGGACTCTAAGGAAGCTTCAAGAAACCTCCCAACCCGGAACCTCAAACCCGAATGCTCCCGGTCCTCCTCGCCCAAGCGTCCGACCAACTCGGTAAACTCGTCCTGCATTTTGCACAATATGGAATTTTCAGAGCTCCAAAACCTGGGTTGTGGAGGTAACCAACTAGACCCTAAACATTCAAGGAGCCTTTAAAATCTCAACGCAGACTGACCAAAGCCCAAGTACGAGTAACAACAAACATGGGAAACAAAAAGCACAGGATTGCTGTCATTCTCGCGGTTTTGGCAAGGAGCGCTACCTTGCCGGAGCACACTGAAAGGATGCCACTGCGATGTAAACCCTAAACCCTCAACCCCAAACCCTAAACCCTGGCCTCGTATCTACAAATCCCATCCGAAGCCTCGCAAACCGAGCGGATTGAACACCCCTAAACCCTAAACCCTAAACCCTAAACCCTAAACCCTAAACCCTAAACCCTAAACCCTTTAGTTTTGGGGGATTTCAGGATCGAGGCCCTTGGAGAGTCCTGGGGCAGCTCCGCCAGCTGTGCCAAGCTGGCTCGGGCTTCCGCACTGAGGTCCACCTCCCAGGCCAACAGGGGGAGTTTAGGGTTTAGGGTTTAGGGTTTAGGGTTTAGGGTTTAGGGTTTAGGGTTTAGGGTTTAGGGGGCCTGGCGTTTTTAGGTTAAAGTAAGACCCTAGCGCATCATACAAATGAGGCCTGGGATTCCCCTTTTGTGGGGTCAATGGGTCAGGTAAGACCCCTCAAACCTGAAGCCCTTAGGTCCAAAAATCCTAAGCCTAAACCCTAAACCCTAAACCCTAAGCCCTGATTCCCTCTTCGAGCCTCCGCCCGCAGAGACCACGAGTCCTGGTCATGACGTCCCTGGCCGTCCCCATCCGGTTCCTCTTCGTGGGTCGGGCTTTCGGTTCTGGGTTCTGGATTCTGGGTTTAGGGTTGAGGCTTTCCAAACCCTTAAGTTCTGGGTTTAGGGTTTAGGGTTGAGGGCTCCTCAACCCTTAAGCCCTTAGGGCAGATCGGGGCAGATGTTTATCCAGATCTAGAGCGTCGGTAGGGCACTTAGTCGGGCACTTCCTCTCCGGAGGACGACAACAACAAGCAAGGGGTCGTTTCCATGCAAGCGCGTGAAGCTTGCCCTCGACGGGTAGATACTAGGGTTTCAACATTTAGGGCTTGACATGCCAGTTCATGGAGCGGGGTTCTCTTCATGTGGGAACAGGCACGAAGCAGTAAACGGCTACACACTGAAACCAATGGAATCCTGAACTACGAAGCCCTCTTCCGTAGAGGTATCTGTCTTCGCCGGTTTAGTGAGTCATAATGTCATAAGTCCTGTCACTTGGAACCCATTCCAGGTCGGCCTTGTTTTGACTCAAGTCCCTCTTCATCCCGCCTTTGAGTACCCAAACCCTAAACCCTAAACCCTAAACCCTAAACCCTAAACCCTAAACCCTAAACCCCTGTGCCATGCTCTTGCCGGTCCTTGCCAAAGGAGTCCACCATGCCCCGCAGCTGCTTCTCCAGTGCTTCCGCGCTGCGGCTTCCAATGCCGAAGCCTCTCGGAGAAGCCCTAAACCCTAAACCCTAAACCCTAAACCCTAGATCCTAAACCCTATTCTGCACCCGTCTCGGCACCGCTCTGGGCTCAAAACCTCCGAGCTCGAAACACACCACCGTCGTTCAACTCTTACTCGCTCTTCAAAAGTCACCTCACGCAGACACTCAATGACCAAACTCGCTCGCTCTCTTTCATGCTCTCACCCACCTCACTAACCGGTGGTCGAATACAACCTAGTTGACTTACTGCACACACACACAGACAAAAGGAATGCACGCATTTCGCTTTTCTAAACTCATCTGCTGCTTTGAATAACAAGAAATCGGAAGACTTGGGGGTTGTCAAGTCTTAAATCGGGGCAGTGCTGATAGGGACCCTGATAGAAGCCATGATGAGACTGCAACTTCATGGGCCTTCACAGGAGTGGCAAGGGAATCATGCCCAACACTTTGAGTCGTCCGCCGCCTATGTCCTCACTGCCTTCAGCCCTGTGCATAGAGACCCGGAAACTTCGGAAGGCCCTATGCCCTTAAGCGGTAGGGTTTACGGTCAGGGTTTAGCGGGGGCGGTTTTGGGGGGGCTCGGGGGTGCTTGCGGGGTGCTTCCCTACTAAGGTATATGAAGCCATAAACCTTAAACCCTAAACCCTAAACCCTAAACCCTAAACCCTAAACCCCTCCGCCCTTGCGCCTCCTGAGAGCCGCGGCGCACCGCGGTTCTCTCGGGCCGCGCCGGCCGCGCCGGCCACGCCCGCCCCGAAGCCAGGGCCCGGGGGCCGCGTGCCAGGCTGGAGGCCTTCAGGCTTGATAGGGTTTAGGGTTTAGGGTTTAGGGTTTAGGGTTTAGGGTTTAGGGTTTAGGGTTTAGGGGTTGGCGGCTTAGAGTGATTGAGGCTTGTTCTTCTACCTTTGGTGGACACACCTTTCAGCGCGCCAGCCCGCCGTGGTAGGGAGTCGCAGGAGCAACTCAGTGTAGGGGATGCAGAAGGGGTGAACAATGAACACATCCTGAAAGATGTTGACGTAGCGGGTGAAGTTGTAGCAGCCAATGGAGGACATAACGTACTGAACAAGAAGAAAAACAACCAATAACAAGAAGAAGCAGAAGAGAGGACGGAGGACATCATCGTGGGCGTCAATGCGGGAGATGTTCTGAACTGGCCATGGACATCATCGTGCAGGTGGAGCTACTCTATGTGCTAGATGTGGATGAAATAAGGTTTAGGGGTCCGGGTGTGTAGGGTCCAGGTGGTTTTGGGGATTTCCCAGCTTCTGCGGTCGGAGACGCCTTAGGGCTTCAGGGGTGAATTGAGCACCCAGAACAATTTCTGCCGTTTTCAAGTTCTGAGGGCGGCAACCCTTGATGGCCTTGAGTATGTCATGCCCTTCTGTCCCCAAACAAGCGTCTGAACTTATACTCCACTCTGAAACATTTTTACTTCGATCATCCCCACCCTCTCTTGGTAGAGATACTCTCGGGTTGGGCACTCCAGGGACACTCTGGGGCTGGGCACTCCGGGGACACTCTGGGGTTGGGCACTCCAGGGAGACTCTGGGGCTGGGCACTCCAGGAGACTGGGGGTTCGGCATTTTGGGGGGAGAGTCTCCTCTTGTGTTGGGCACTCCAGGGATGAGCGAGGAGTAGACCGGGCGAGGAGAAGAGTTCCGGAGTTTAACATCTAACAACCCCACACCGAGGGTGAGGAAAAAGGGATTGCCCAAGCCGCCCTATGCCCACCCCCCCCCCCCAAGCAAAAAGCCGCATTCAGATTCCAAACGGCGACTTGTAGCCCTCCCTCAACCTCACACCCAGTCGCTGGGCGGCCGATAGGCCTTAGACCCTGAATCCCTTAAGGGTCTAGGGTTTAGGGTTTAGGGTTAACTCAAGCCCTTGCCCGCCCAAGCCTGCGCCGCTTTGAGACACTGCGGCGTCGCCTTCTGCAGAGGTTTCCGCCATGGGCCTGATGACTGGCGTTGTTGCGGGGGGCACCACGGTCTCCAAATGGACAGTGCAAGGGCATTAGATCGCCGGGGCCGGGCATGCATTCTAGCTCGAAGAATAGACACACGTGATTGTGCTCATGCCCCCTAACGTAGAAGGCCACCATTTGCTTGGTACGGTTTTGGGAACTCGAGTCTTACGAGTCTTACGACAGGTCACGTATAAGGATTGCGTTCACAGACGAGGTGCAAGCCCGGCACAAACGAGCTCTTGGGAGGAGCCGCCGTGGCATCAGTAGGCGTCCTCTTCCTGTGCCGTTGAGAGAGCATGCGTTATCAGGGCCATGTGAATGTTCAGAAACATCCAAAAAGGCATGCGCAGTAACAGGCTCTATTCATTTATGCATACCGTCACTACTATTTGCTTAAAAACGACCAAAACAATGGTCGTTTTCTTCCTTATAAGGGTAATGTCGGGATGATGATGATGATTATTAGTATTTTATTTTCTACTACTACTTATTGTTATCATAATTGTGCATAATATGTATATATATACTTATATATATATATACATATACATATATATATATATATATATTTTTTTTTTTTTTTTTTTGGGGGGGGGGGGGTGGGGGGGGGCGTGGGGGCTTCTTAAGCAAATGGTAGGTCATGTTCGCTCATCGGGAGCTTGAGCCCCGAGCCCAGATGGTTTCTGTTTCTGTTCTTCCAGGCCCCTCCAACAACAAGCAGTCACAACAGAGCTTTGCTTTCACACGAAAGGCGCATCCATAATAATTATGGCTTCCTTCGGTGAACCAACAAAAAAGCAACACAAAACAAAACAAAACAAAACAAAACAAAACAAAGCAAGCAAAGCAATGCAAAGCAATGCAAAGCAATGCAAAGCAATGCAAAGCAATGCAAAGCAATGCAAAGCAATGCAAAGCAATGCAAAGCAATGCAAAGCAATGCAAAGCAATGCAAAGCAATGCAAAGCAATGCAAAGCAATGCAAAGCAATGCAAAGCAATGCAAAGCAAAGCAACACAACAGAACACAACAGAACACAACAGAACACAACACAACAACACAACTCAAACGACACAAACTAAGCAAGATACTCACACCCTACAGCTAGCCGTTGTGGGAGCCATTCTGCCTTTCCGGCCGGAAGTGAAGCATACTTCGCATGCTTGGCGGGACTCTTGCGGGATTCTGAGGGGGGGGGAGGGGGTGGGCGCTCCAAGGATACTCGGTGATACTCGGCGGGACCTTTGCAGGATTCGCTGGGAAGGCACTCCTAGGATAGTCGGCAGCGCTCTCCACTCCAGGGATACTCGGCGGAATTATGTGCGGGCTTCCTTGAAGGCACTCCTGGGATGCTCAACAACCCTCACTCACTCTCTCTCCTTCTCTCTCTCTCTCTCGCTTCTTCTTCTTCTTCCTCTTCTTCTTCTGCTTCTTCTTCTTCTGCTTCTTCTTCTTCTTCTACCCAGCGAGGAGGCCCCCCCGAAGAGGAACCCCGGCCGCGATGGCCCGCTGCTCCAAGTGGTGAGAGGTGGGCTTCCGCATTGGTCGCCCTTCTGGCGGAAAGTCGGGCTCCCCTTACACTGACGGGGATGGGCCACGAGTGAAAAAACTTGGTACACTTCTCGATTTGTGTGTGTCATCCTTGCGCAGGGGCCATGCTAGTCTTCTCTGTATCGTCCCGATTTGATCGGATGATCTCCGAAGGGATAATCCTCTCGCTCTCTCTCTCTCTCTCTCTCTCTCTCTCTCCTTTTCTCTCTCACTCTCTGGGACCAGGCCAGGCGACCGGGCGCGAGACCGGCGAAGAGGCGAGGAGAACGGTTGACTTAAAGCTTAGCAATCCCACACCGAAGGCGGAAAACAAAAACAGAAACAAAAGCAGAAACAGAAACAGAAACAGAAACAAAACGAAACAAAACGAACGAAACGAAACGGAACGAAACACAACAAACAAAACAGGCGCACATACAAAATAATCAAACAAAACAAACGCAGAACAAAACAAACCGAACAAACACACACTCACACACTCGCACGTCAAATGCACCAACGATGCAACAGGCTGGGTGCGGTGGGGTTGTTGCAATGTGTGCTTGCAGTGTTTGACCCTTTGCACAACAGCACATATGGCAACAATGTACAGCGATGGCGATGCACTATCACCTATCACTGGTAGGTACACAAGGGTGATCAGCATTGAACCCCGTAGCTTTCTGAGGCACGGTTTGGAATCTGATGATCCGATGCCGTATGTGCAATGACAAAACATGCAAAACATGAAGGGTGTGACCCCCTCGCCTGCAGGACCTAGCCTAGCACGCACACAAAGAGCCTCCAGAATACACCTTGATCCCCTGGGCTGCAGTGACAGAGCGAGCAGGAGAGAGCGGGCACTGAGCCCTGCCACAGCTGCCAAGCGTCGACAAAGCCTTTGCGGCGCTGGCAGCCATGCCACTCCCCAGCGCAGCAGGTTCTGGATCCTAGCAGAGGAGAAGTGAGCTTCCGATCCGAAAAGGTCTTCCAGTTCCGGGGGCCCGCGTTGCGCTCTATTGCCAACCAAGTGTTCGGCATGAAACTACGGCATCTCCTAATGTTCGGCAGCTACGACTGCGGGAAGCACGGCAGCTACGATTGAAGGCGCACGCATCAGCTGGAGTTGTTCCACGATTGCAATACTGCGGCATGTCCAGCAGTCCGATTTTTGCCATCGGGGCTTGAAACTATGCAAGCGCCGGCATTCTTTACTGTCTAGTTAAGCACCTCAAAAATCGAAAAAGTCTTCCTTACAAGGGTGATGTAGATTATGATTGATATTCTTGTTGGGGGGGTCTTAAGCAAATAGTAGTTCTGATTGTTCACCAGTGTCCAAATGCTGTCAATCGCTGCGTCTGAAGCTTCGAGCAGCTTGTTCCCATGTGCAAGCTCACGATTTTCATTGCTTTCGAAGCCCTCAAGTCCAAAAACCCTAAATACTGACCCCAAAAGCCAAATCTCTAAGAACCCTAGAAACCCTAAAGCCCTCTAAAACCCTAAAAGCCCCAAAAACCCCTAAGACCCTTAAAAACCCTTAAGACCCTAAACCCTAAACCCTAAGACCTTAAACCCTAAACGCTGAAACTTAAACCCCAAACCCCTAAAAGCCCTACAAGCCCTGAAGCCGAAACCCTAAACCCTAAACCCTAAACCCTAAACCCTAAACCCTAAACCCTAAACCCTAAACCCTAAACCTTCAACTTCAGCATCCCAAGGTCCCAGGTTCCATCGAGGATTCGTTTCTCGCAACGATTGGCCCGTTGTCCGCGTTGCAGCCCGAGGGTGTTAGCGTTTAGGGTTTAGGGCTTAAGGGTTCTCAAGAGTTGTTCAAGGGTTCTTGAAGAGCTTATGACTTTTGAGGAGGTGCCTGGAAGGTTGGCGTCTAAAGGTCCAAAATTGTCCGTAGACATTTCGGGGGCCCCCACGTTTTAGAATGTACAGCTTCAGACGTTGGCCAATCTTCAGCCCCCGCGCCGCCCACAAACGACCTATGCGCAAAGCTCTTTCCCCAAGAAGGAGGGACTTCTAGATGAAGTGAAGGGCCAAATGTCTGACATGAAGCAAATTTCTGCTGAGCTTCCTGGTTTGACAGTCAGTAAACCCTAAACCCCTAAAGACCAATCTTGCACCCCCAGCACGTAATAGCGGCTTAACTAGAGCAGCACTGCTCCCACGTTGGACTCTAAGCCTTAGAATCTCCTTTGTCAAGGCCGAAGCAGAAACCAACGCAACAAAATGCCTCGGCCTCTTCCTCGTCGCTCTCCGGAACCGTCAAAGGCAGTTCTGCAGGCTCCTTCTTGGGGCCGTAGTGCGACGAGACGACTGAAAATCGCAAACAAACTATGAGATAAATAGCTCGGCGCTCGGGGGTGAAATCCCCGTGGAGAGCCGCCCTTTCTTTTTCGGGGCAGTTGGGGCTCTGCGGGCCAAGCACCCAAAGGCCTTGAGGACTGAAGGGGCGTCTATTTTGATTAAGATCCTAAACCGTTATACTCCAGTGGAAATCCTAAACCCTAAACCCCTAAAACCTAAACCCTGAACCCTAAACCCCCAGTGGAAGTCCCAAAACCCTGATTGCCGGGTCAATACCTGGCCTCGGTCCGCGCGCCGGCCTCGACCCAGCGCTGGGTGCGGGCGCCGATCGCCTCCCTGTCTGGAAAGGGCTTTGCATATAGGTGCCTTAATGATTAGAATAGGCTTTTGGGTTTCTTATAGTATAGTTCTATAGGGACCATAAGGGAATTCGATAAGTAATTATTCCGACCCCTATGCTATGTGAACTGCGAGAGGTGCTTCGTTAAGTATGCGTAGGCATGGCAAAAACCGTGCTGTGGCTCAGGCCCTTCGCACCTTGTGGGAAGGGCTATTGGCACACTCTGTGTGGTTTAGGGTTTAGGGTTCAGGGTTTAATTAGGGTTTAGGGGTTAGGGTTTAGGGTTCAGGGTTGTGCCAGGGGGGGGGGGGGTGTTTGAGGGAGGCGGAGGGAGGTCTCAGGATTGACTTGGCAAAGTAGGATTTGCATTCTGTCGCTTCTGGGGCTTCAAGGCTTCTTGCGGGTTGCTCTTCTGAAGGATTTCTTATAGACATCCGGCCAGAACCTAGCCTGCTTTGCACCATGCACATCCAACACGCCACCGCATCCTTCACAAGCCCCCAAAATCCACAGACCAGGATGTGTAAGGAAGCCCCCTTGATCGATGAAAAGGACACAAAAAGCCCTCAAGCACCAGCGAAAAGAACCAAACCTGGAACTCGAACCTATACTCCCTTTCGAACCTTAGTAAAAATAATACTCTTAAATTTAGATAAACAAAAAACACAATAATTCGGATAAACAAAAATATAACATAATTCCCGAGGGGGATATAGGAACTGAGTGGGCAAAGGTTGCAAGCAAGCTGCGTCTCGGCTTCGGCGGGGGCCGAGATGGTGGGAGCCCATGGTGGAAGGAGATCCTGCTTCTGTCGCATTTAGGGGTTTTTTCTTGGAGGGTAGCTATAAATTGAACTTTTAGCTGCCTTAATAAGAAACCCAATAAACCCAAAAAAGGTAAGGATCTAAAGTTACAGTAAAGTACCACAAAGTTTTTAACGTGAAGAAAACCCTAAATGCGTTGAGTGAACACGCCCTTCACCTAAAGACGGTCGGCCTCGCATGTGAGCGGATGTTCTTGCTTCGCCCTTTCCGAGCGTATTCAGATGAAACAGGGTTCCCGCGCACCAGCCTCTGGGCTACCGCCGCCGGTGTAGCCCGCCTGCCGCACAGCCCGCTCCACCTCACGCGGGATCACACAGCCTGAAATGATCATTCCTGCCCACGTCCTTTATCCCCTGAGCTCTCACCCTAGCCCCAAAAATCAAAGGAACTCAAAACCTGTTGCTCAAAATGTCAACTCTGCAAAGCGTCAACCTTCAAAGCAAGAGGGGGCCCAAATCCTGAACCCCAACCAAAAACCCTCCCAAAAGCCCTCAAAAACCCCCTTTGTTGACTTTGGATGGACCCTGAAACGATATGCTTATGACAAGCCCCAAAACTCAATCTCCTCTTACGGCCCCCAAGGCACCGCCAGCGCAGGTGACTCCAGGCGACGAGGAGGGGTAGTCTGCAGTTGGCAGGCCGCCTTAGCTTCTGGGGAAGGGCACTGGGATGCTTTGACGACGCTTTGTTCAGCAATGCTGGGTTTCGGGGGTTTGGTGTGGCAAGGGTTTGGAACGGATTCGGAAATGTTTTTCTGGAACGAGGGCTGCTGGAGAGATGGCTCAGAGAGGTTCCATGCAGTACCGCCGGATGTTCGCGCGCGCGTGCCGGTTTGATTGGCGCACCCACGAAACCGAACCCGAAAATCAGAACCCCTATCTGACCCTGACACTGAGTCGTCGCCTTGCGTCACATTTGGCGAGCAGCGGCCTCGAACTCCCAAACCGCCGAGACACCAAAGCTCACCCCCTAAGCAGACATTCATTGAGTGCCCCTAACTTTCATTGGGGAAGGATCCTAGAGACATCAAGAGTGCCCTCAAGAACCCGAAGCCCAAACCCCTGAAAACTGCCTAACATTGAAAAATAAAGAGAAGAGCCCCGACCTTGAAATTTCTCAAGCCGTCCTGAGCTTCCCGAAGCCCTTCTTAGCAGAACCCTACAAGCCCTAAACCCTCTAACCCCTAAAAACCCGCTAAACCATAAACCCTAAACCCTAAACCCTAAACCCTAAACCCTAAACGGCCTTAAACCCTGTTGTCTCAGTGGACTTCTCAGTGCCAAGAGAGGCACCTGCTGAAGGCGGCTCAGCAGTTTTCGCTTCATCGGCGCAAGGTCTGGTGAGTGGGGGGTGTCTCTTTCGGTGGGAGGGGGGGGGTTTAGGGTTTGGGTTTAGGGGTTTAGGGGTTTAGGGGTTTAGGGGTTCAGGGGTTCAGGGGTCTAGGGGGGTGTGCTCTTTTCGTGCTTGATATCCATCTTCCCTTGCGGGTTGGAACGGGGGGCGGGCTGTATGAGGCGCCTGTTCTATCCATCTTCGCTCGTTGGGCCTTGGGGCCATACAAGGCCGTGAAAGGGCCCGAGGGTGCTATGAGCCTTTGGAGGTTTCGGGTTTCAAGGGACTCAGAAGGGAACCCAAACCCTAAAGAAATGGAATGAGGGCCTGCTCCAGGTCCTAGACGACGTCCTACAGCCCTGCGAAGTCCCTAAACCCTAAAATCCTAAACCCTAAACCCTATAGGGTTACCCTAAACCCTAAACCCTAAACCCTAAACCCCGAACCCCTAAACCCTAAACCCTAAACCCTGCGAATTGTCGCCAGGCTGGAGCTCAATCGGCCTGCCGTTTGCTCGCAACCGCCGTCCGCCAAGGCTAGGCAATGGTCCACCAGCTGCTGAACCTCACATGATGGGGGTTTACGAAAATAAGGGACCACTTAATATAGACTCCCAAATCGTAGGATTCCCTTCTGATAAGGACCCCAGTACAGTACCCCTAATTTCGGAAATGCCCCTATGGGTTAGATGACGAAAACGTGGCTTTTTGCGGGTCGCCCATTCGCAGGATTTGAATTTGTGTTGGTGCTTCCGCAAGTTTCAACACATGGGGGGGCTTCGGGGTTTGCAGGGTGGCAGTTTGCTCGACGGTTCTCAGACTGCCATGTTTCCGTCTCGAGGGTCGGGATTTCGAGTTCGGTCAGTCTCGGGCTAGCGGACTTCGCTCGGCATCTCAACTCCCGGAGCCAGCCGCAATCCGAACCCTTGCCTGCCTGCAAACCTTCCAACATGGTCCCCCCAAGCCCTCAGTGGATAGGGCTCAGTAGGGTTTAGGGTTTAGGGTTTAGGGTTTAGGGTTTATTGTTTAGGGTGCAAAAGGGCCTTAGTAATTCACGCGACCAGGCCGCGATGTGCCCCGCAAGCGGAGTCGTCATCGCCTGTCACGAGGTAAACCCGAGGCCCGACGCAAAATGCCAAAAGGAAGAATTCCCATAAAGCCACACACGGACGAGTACCTACTTACATCTGCAAAAGAACAAACTACTATTTGCTTAAGAACCCCAAAAGAATAAAACATGATAATCCCTGTATTACCCTCATAAGGGAGTTAAAAAAAAAACATGACACTCTTAAACCCAACAAGGGAAAATGTAAGATGTCCCAAGAACCTACCCAGTTAAGCAATAAGTAGCAAAGTGTGCTGAAAACCCTCTCAAACCAAAGCAGACGCCCCGGGTGCGGCGTACAAGGCCCTGCAGAGCACTTGAGAGGCGAAAAAGATGCAAAAAGCGGGGGGGTTTAGGGTTTAGGGCTTAGGGTTTAGGGTTTCGGGTTTAGGGTTCACACAGCACACTCGACATCGAACCCGGCACGCCCTTGCAGCCCCCCCCCCCACCCAGCCCCGGTCTGCGCGCCTGGGCCGCATCGCCCGCAAAGGCCACGACGAGGACTCCCTGGGCCAAGCCCTCCTGGGCCTGGCAGGGCTTTGGGCTTTGGGTCTAGGCCAGAGAGGCACTAAGACAGGTGGGGTTTAGGGGTTTAGGGGTTTAGGGTTTAGGGGTTTAGGGTTTTAGGGGTTTAGGGGTTTAGGGGTTTAGGGGTTTAGGGGTTTAGGGGTTTAGGGGTTTAGGGGTTAGGGTTTGGCCCTGCGCGTAAAGCAGCCATACGGCGTAGAAGAGTATTGGGGCAGAGCTTCGGATGTTTTGGCATGTGTAGCTCCTCAGGTTTGAGGGCTCCGGGGGTCCTAGGCTTTGGGGACTTGGAAGGTAATGGTTCAGGGTTCACGCTTCAGGGGATCCAGAGCCACGTAGGGTTTTTCAGGCTATTTTGGGGAGGGGCTCGAGAATTCGGCATGGGACCCTACTCCTTCAACTTCAAGGGGCCACGCGCGCAGCCGGGGCCCGCGCCTCCTGCAGGTATCCGACGTAGCCCTCCATCTGGAGGGGCGTCCGCACGAGCGCGAAGTTCTTGGAGTCCTCGTGTGCCTCGCCGTGGTGGGCTACTGGGCGTTCGCGTTGCTTTTTGACTAGGGTTTAGGGTTTAGGGTTCAGGGTTCAGGGTTCATGGGCACTTAGGGCCTTAGGATATCAGGGCTTAATGAGTTGCGAGCGGTGCGGCTGCCATTGGGCACTTGAGATTCGACGCTTTGGATTCGCGAGCTCAGGACTTTGCTTTAGTGCCAAGGGCTTCAGGTTTTTCCATGGCTTTCGTGTGGCTCTGAAATTCAGAGCTCTTGAGCTCAAACCTTCAGACTTAAGCAAACAACAGCGTGGTGAAACTCCACAAGCCCTGTGCCCTTAACATGGTCTAGGAATGAGAGGTGATGTCTAAAGAGGTCACAGTCTAGAAACCCACGCGACAGCAGCTCGCACACAGACTCAGTCCCTCACGTCCCCACTCTGTCTCTGAAATCCGCCTGCTGACTGCGTAGCAGAAGCGCCGTACTGTTCTCCCCAGAACCCGGCGCCAGGATTTCAGCACTGAGCTTGGTGACCTTGGGCGCCATCGCAGAAGTTGGGGACCGATCCATGCAGAGCGATGTTTTGCTTGTCTGGCTTGGGGGGGGAGTATGGGGAAGTGACGTAACCCTGAGCCTGCTTTGTGGGAAGACCCCGGCATGAGAAAGCGCATGCTGGTTGTGAGATGCAACAAGCGCAAGTGCGCGACCCGTCCGCAGTCCTACTTAAGAAGCTTTCGATAGGCCATCGCCATCGCCTTGCTGGAAATACCAATGGCCGTTCTCACAAGTCTCACAAAGCCATGGACATTCCTGGACCCCAACTCTGTCAAAGCTGCTTCCACAACCTCTTCGAGCTGCACCGGGGCGGAATCCTCCTGGTCAGGCTCGTCATCGGCCTGGGCTGCTGCGCTTGGGAGCACAACGTGTCCGACCCGAGCTTTGGGCTCGACATGGGCCCTTAAGTTCACGTGTTGGAGTGCACTAAGCCCTTAGGACCCAAGCCAGCTAAGCCAGAAACTAGCACGAAACCCTTGAAGCCCTAAGCCCCAGCGTTCTATAAGCCATGAACCATAGCGTATGTCACCTGCTGGAGAAGGATGCGGATCTAAAGATCGTCAATCTGCCTCTTCGTGGAAGAGAGAGAAATGGCGTGCTTCGACGTCTTCAAACCTAGCAGCGTATGCCTGCGATAGTCGGCGATGAAAGTTAGTGCCCTGTGGACATGAAAATACCGCGGGTTCAGCTCAGAGCGTTGGCGATTGCACCAATGAAGCATTACACGATGCAAATGGCGTGGCAAACGTATGCTTGGCCGAGGTAAGGCTGTGATCAGCCCAAAGTGAAGAAGAAATCCTTTTTGTATCCCGGCTGGACAACTTTTAACATACGACATGGGAACGACGGGAGGCATGCGTGTCCTGAACCCTAAACTACAAATGCATCTCCACAACTGCCCACCTTGCGCAGCCCCTGTAACGCTGTAGGGAGGCCATGTTCAACCCTAAGCGCCGCAGAATTCGATCTTCAAACAAAAAAAGAGCCAAAACGCTTTGCAGAAGACCCTTAAACAAAAATGGAACATTGCAACCCCTAAGCCCTAAACCCTAAACACCATACCCTATGCCCTAAACCCGAATTTCAATTCTAACCCGATTCGGCCTCCTGAAGCCTTGCGAGTCCACTTAACACACAGAAGCCCCGGCTGGGGCTCCCAGCAGGCCGGGCCTCGACAAACTCCACGGCGCGCGTCGCAGACCTCAGCACCTGCGGGAGGCCTTCTGAGGGGCTAAGGTGAAGGCCTAAACCCCAGAACCCTAACCCTAAACCCTGAACCCGAAACCCTGCATCCTACACCCTGAACCCTAAACACGTTCTAACAACCCTTCAAGCCCTTGAGGGGTTCAGCTATTTTAGGGGCCTTAATGATTAGAATAGGGCTTTAGGGAGGGTTTTAGGGAATCACTAGTGTAAGTCTGGAGGGACGAAAAAAAGGGAATACTGTAGACATTCTTCCGACCCCTCTATGAGGCTGCAGAGTCGCAGGAGGGGTTGCTGCACTTCCCTGAGCAAAGGGGTGCGCGCGGGCCTCTGCCAGCTCCACCCGCAGAGCCGCACCATCCTGGGATCTGGGGTTCGTCGGGGCTTCAGCTTCAATGAGACGCCATGTGCAAAGGAAATCGCAGGAAGAGACCATTTCCCAACATCAAACCCTCAATCCTAAGCCCAGCGATTGAGAACCTCAAATCCCCAAGGCATTCAAGCCCTCGACCCCAGACTCCTGGCGGATGGTCCCGCGGAAGGGGTCAGGAGCCCCTTGATTTAGGTAGCATCTTTTCGTTGGCCAGAACCTCTAGAAACCCTACCACGAACACCTCAAGGCAAACTCATACCTTATGGCGCGTGAGTGCGACTTAAGTGAAGACCCGATGAATTTTGACAACGCGCCTCCAACAGCCAGCGCACGGCTGCTAGCAAGAGCCCAGCAGCCAGTGCCGCCTGCGCTCAGGGGTCCATTTTGCTGGTCCCCTGGTCCCAGGGTGTCGGGCCGTTTTGGGGCTTAGCCAATCTCAGTGGACGAGTCATGAGCAATACTCAGAAGTGCGCCAAGGACTTTCGATTGCTAAGCCTGAGCCCGACAGCCGTGCATCCATGCGTGCGAGACGTGCCAAAGGCGATGCAGGGGATTTGGTTCGTGCATGTGCATGTATGTTTGTATCCGTCTAGGACTTCGGGCTCTGCCAGTCGCAGTCCAGCAGTGCTGAACGCCCTCGTGTTGTGGAGGGAGTCTTCGGGATCGAGCGCAATTTGCGCCATATTTCGACCGCTCCCACACGGCAACTCCCAAACCCCCCCCCCTGTAAACCCATCCTAAACCCTAAACCCTAAACCCTAAACCCTAAACCCTAAACCCTCATGGGTACTCCAAGAAGTGATTCATCTGGAGCCCGACGCTGGAACTGAATGACGAAGACCGTCAACTCGTGGACCTTCTCAACCCGATTATAAGGGTAATAGGGTTTAGGGTTTAGGGTTTAGGGTTTAGGATTTGCTTCCGGCCTCTTTTCCACGATGCCATCGCAGCACGCGCGCTTGCCGCGACACGATCGGCATGGACAAGCCACAGTAGCCTGGGCTCTTGTCCTAGAGGATGCTGCTGTAAAGCGAATTAAGGCATAAGGCTTCGGGTTTATGGGGCCTTTACGGCTTTGTAAGGCCTCCCTACACACTGTGTTGATGTCTTAAATTGCTGCCGTGACTGCGAATGGCCTTGGGCTCTGTTTAGGGTTTAGGGTTTAGGGTTTAGGGTTTAGGGTGTAGGGTGTAGGGTGTAGCGTTTAGGGTTTAGGGTTTAGGTTCAGGGTTTAGGGTCTAGGGTTTAGGGTCCTCCCACACTCCCCGCCAAGTTGGATCCGGGGAGATGGGATGGGAGGCCTTCCTGGCCCTCTTTCAGAGCCCTTAAGGTTCTGGGACTGCTTTAAGCTTCTGGGAGTGCTTTATCTGGTTCCGTAACCTGTCGTGATGCTCCCAAGCGGCGGAAGGCGCGCTTCAGGCGCTCGGCCTCCGGGCGTCTCGAGGGTTTAGGGTTTAGGGTTTAGGGTGCCCAAAATTTAAACTGCAGCCAGCTCTAAACCCCACACACGGCTTGATTGGTGTGTTGTCAGGGGGGTTTGCCACGTGAGGTCTAGGATTCAAAAGGCCTTAAGCTCGGACCCCCCAATGGATGGACAATTTGGGGGATGTCTTGCAAAGCCTGTGATATCACAGGGCCCATGGCCAGACTTGGGTTGTGCCTTACAAAGCAGACTTGAAACGCAAATCCTTCCTCCCTAGGGATGAATGAGCCCAGGCCTCGGCGATACCTGAGCCTGAATCCACTCTCATTCATGGCATGCAAACCATAAAACTGGGGGTCACGTACCCTATATACTACTATAACTTCTATGAAGGTCTATGAAGCATAAACCCCTTGAACCCCTTTTTGGGTTCCTTTTTGGTCCCCCCAAAGGGAAGTGCCGGGGGCACCTCCCAGCTGGGCAGCTCGGCATCGGCGAGCCCGGCTACGAGCTGCAGAGCCTCACCTGCGAAAGGGGCGATTCGGGGTCAACCCCCTATTATACTCCCGATTAAGGACTGTGAGTATAAGGGGCCAAATGATGCCACTAAGAAGGTTTTAGGGGTCCAGGGTTTAGGGTTTAGGTTCTTAACCTAATGGAGCCGTCAAGTTGTTGAAGTGCCCAACCCCCCAGGATGGAGATCCTTGAATAACCCCCCCCCCCCCCCCCCCGAAAACTCCAACCCCTGAGCCGAAAACCGTCCATCGCCAACCCGAAAAAGCCTCCAACCCAAACCCTGCGGCCCAAGCCCAAGCCTCAGTGGCCTCAGCGCCCACCCTACACCACCGCAAACTCCCCAAACCCTGAAC